TCTTTCAATTTGGATGGTCTCTTCTTTTTGGGCAATATATATATATACACATATATATATATATAGGGTCTATCCGTTCTTACCTGGGCCCAGTGGATAAGGATGGTTCAGTTGCAGGCCTTGTTCAAAAATGATGATCATTGTTGACTGACGGCTCTACAGGTACTAGGACAGAGCCAACAATGGTGGTGGTCTTGTCGGAAGCAACCCGTCACCGTGGCATCCTAGCCGCTCCTAGCCGAGTAGTCGCCATGTCAACTGCAGACTCGACATGCTTAGACCGTGGCCCCCAGGATGATGCTCATATGTCTGTGGGTCAAACCCCAAATACCTTACTTGACCTGACCTGCGAAAAATGAACCAGATTCCTTTTTCAATCATTTGAACAGGGAATGTCAACCTTGTTATGGTTTGTAGGGTCCAGGTTGAGAGTTGAGCCAATCCCCATCTCGCCTGAGAAGTTCTCCTTGATCTCTTGAAAATTCAGAAAGATCTCTTTGACCTCTTCTGGTGTCCTCAGCCGTCGTGGTAGAGGAACCCACGAAGCGGTATCACGAAGCTGTGTTTTGCCGTGATGTTCCTCCTCCCAAAATCGTGGGAATCAAGAAGTAAAGCACTGAAACACACCTACCTGCCCAAAAGAAAAAGAGCACAGCTTGAAACTACATGTTTGCTGGTTTTCTCTGGTTTCTTCTTGCCCAAACTGCTGGTGTGTCTGAACCAAGAATTCGTCTTACTGGTCAACACACCAGCTTTGAAAAGAACTCCAGGTCTCTCCAGGTCCAAAACATCTGCACCGAGCCGCGCGAGACCCGACGCCAGATCGCGCGGCGGCTGGTGGTAGAGCGGAGGGTCTGCAGCTTGTGACCTGAGAAAAGCTGCATTCAGAAGAACTAAGTTAGTAGCTTCTTGCTACTAGTAGTAAGGCCAGGAGTTACGTTCGTAGCTTCTTGTTCCTAGTAGGTGATGCCCTTTGTTACTAGATGTAATTAGTAGCGAACATTGCTCCTAGTAGTAAGGCCAGGAGCTGCGTTCGTAGCTTCTTGTCACTAGTTGCGCTTTTTTTGTGGTCAATGGAAGATTTGAAGACTCCCATGGTGTTTTGAATAGTTCTGTTTAGCTGTAATATCTAGGGCCGATATACTTACATCACCAACATGCTTCCTGGAAGATATGGAGATGGAAGTGGATTGGGTCGGGGCAACTTGACGTGATCTGCTGGCCTCATGGCTGCTTGTCGCAACTTGACGCGTCCATGCAAGATTGTTTCCTTCAACAGTTCACAATGGGCTGTTGGATTATAGTTACGTAAGCACTCTTGAACATATAATACACAATTGGACTGTTCAATCATGTTAAATCATTAAAGACCAAGATGTATTCGATAGGTACCCTCAATAGAACCCACAAGAGTTGTGGAACACGGACTCCACGGTTTCACCGTTGGGTGCTTGGCCCCGCGGCCCGAACACCGGCCGAACGGATCCAGAACGCCACGGAAGGACCCTTTTAAAGGTTGATCAAGGCCCTAGAAACGACACCAAATCCTCTCCATCAACGAGATCGACCGTGTTTCTTTTTATTGCAAAGCTCGGCAGTACACCTGCCTCCCTGAAAGGTCGAAAACAGATGCTCCGGCTTGGATTTGCTGGCTTTGGCCGGGGGAAAAGAACCTCTTTCTTATGCCAGGGGATTCACTTGGTTTAGCAAAACAAACATAGGCTGGTGACCAGGTCCACCTCCCAACCCCATCGTGCTCGTGGCTCGGTTCTTCGCCACCGAAGGCCTAAGGCGCTCGAAAGGCCTTCAGCATGCCGAGGCGCTTGGACTCAATCAGCTGCATGGCGTGGTGGTAAAGATCGTGCCAATAGTGAAAAGCCCCTTTGTAACCTCAAGACTTCATCGCTTTCGGCGGATCCAGATATCATTAGGACTATCATTAGGCTGATCATGGCTGTGAATCCAAACAAACAAAATCCTTTTCCGGCATCCTTTTCCAAGGAGAAGACCTTGAGAAGCCTGGACCAAAGTGGGGGCGGATCAGACCGAATTGACACCCTGAAGCATCCGACCAAATTGGGCACAGTGGCTCACCCCGGAGACAGCATGGGCAGGTGGCTCAGGTAATTGCGACCACTATTGCGACCTTACCATGCAAAAATAGGGCCCATCCACTGACCTCACGAGCCCAAAAACGCGCAGCGGACAGGTTTGGTGAAGATCTTTTAACACTTCCAACAAGAACCACATCCATGCCCATTGCCATGCTTGGGGGGGCCTTTGTAATTGAATTCAGCAACACCACAACATGGGGCCCTACGGATGTCGACGACATCACATGGTCGTTTCATCCAGTTTCTCCCGGTCAAGTTGACTTTTGAGGCACTCCATGTATGGTACTCTATGTCTACATTGACGCTGGAAACCACCCCAATGCCATATAAATATGCCATGGAGTGTCTGGGCATGGAGGTGTATCACAAATCTCCTTTGAGCCATCCGCCGATCCCGTTTTGGGGCCGCTGTATTTTGGTGGTTGATGATGTCGAGTCTGAAGTATCAGGTCCAATTGACAAGTGGAAGATGAGGGGGGCCGAACTGGACACAGCTGCTATGACTCCAAGTCTGCCCCCTTAATTCCTGCAGTATCCTACAATGCGTCGGTATCATTTTTGTGTGTCCATGTCTAAACTTGTCCCATGAGGCACCGGAAGTCTTCATGTTGCAACGACCTTGTGGCTTGGACAGCTGGGGCATAACTAGGCATAACACCCACAGAAGGAACAACAACAGCTTTTTCAGGTTTATTCCTCCCGCTTTTTGGACTGATTCCCCCCAAGGTACATCGCGGGCTATCCACTCTTCCAGCAGCTTCGCGGTTCTCGATCAGTGCCTCACCAGTGGGCACAGCTGGGTGGGCAGCCAGCTCGGGTCATACGGTGATCGAGTCATCACTGGGCGACGAAACATGGGGATTTTAACCAGGCGTTCGGAGAAGGTGAGTTGGAGCTATGGGAAATTCCAAAACTCTTCCTGGCTTTGCACACGCACACAGCCGAACTCTACTCCCAGCAATTCCCAGCATCTCTGCACGTGCTGTAACAATGATGGAGTTGAACGCAATCTTCAGCTGATTCTTGGCACGAGCTTTTCTTTTTGAACCACAGCAAAGGTGCCGTTTGCGGTATCCACTCTTCGCCATACCAAGCGTCCATTCTTCCCCAGTGTGTCTGGTCCACCCGAGAAGGGTCCCAGTCCCAAGCTCGCAAGCGAACTTTGAGATAGGCACCGGGCGACCAACAAAAAGGAGCTGGGAAGATCATTACAAAAACAAATATTAAAAGATATTCAGTGAAAATCAGTGAAACATGTCTACAAGAACCTCATGAATGTCGATCTTGATGATCCAAACGAACCTAGCTCAAACGAATCCAGCTCCTCTCACCTTCACCTGTCAAAGTGGCGAGGAGTAAACAATCTATCCCAACACTCGTCCTTGGACTCGATGTGCTGTTCATCTGCCAACCATTTTGAAAGAAAGATGTTGTAACATGTTGTAACACATCGCGGGACCCGGTCCAGCGCTGGACCCGAGAACAAACCATCACAGCTTCCAGGTCTTGGAGGCCCTTGCTGTCGACAGATCCGACTTGGCTCTGACCTCACATGACCTCTCCTCTTGAGGGTGTGCCCATTCGCTAGCCTTCCAGGAACAACCATTCAGAGAGTTCGGTTGAGCAGTGTCAAATCCTGAGTAAAAGAAGGGTTGTTCAGTGCAGGAAGGAAGCCTAGGGGGGATTAGAATAGGGAGATCTCCGGCCAGGAAAGCTTCTACTTCTCTTCCCGTGGGCCCTGATCCTGCGCGTTTGGAGCGGGAGGTCTTCCCATGTCTTCCCTATGGCCTCAGTGGCTTTTCAAAGCAACACCGAGTCCGACTGAGTCCTCCGGCCTGGAAGTTCAGCCAATGATTGGCGAAATGGACCAAGCGTGCCTGACTCTCGCCCCGAAACACGACCGTGCAGGCACGCGGTGTCAACCACGATCTGCGCGCCCCCCCCAACAGCGATCTATAGTGGCACTCTGAGGGACATAGTCGACACTCACTTGGACGTGCAAAGTAGATGGCAAACGTGCAGAGTGGATGAGGGAGGTGCCTTCTTCGCCACAAGGCACAGAAGAGGCACAACGACTGCGCAAATCAACTACGCACATCAACTGCGGCGGGCTTCGCATGGCCTTCACAAACCCGCTGTTGTAAGTTCCTTCCCATCAACTGCGTGCCCAGGGGAGTGAAAGTGGTGTCACCTGGAAGATGGAACAAACTCCTAATGCTGGGCATCTGTTTGCAACCCTAGGCCCTAACTAGTGGGCAAGAACATTTGAAGGACGGCACAGACTCTGAAACCAATGAGACCTCACAAGAGCTACCAAGTGTTGCACATGTGAAACCTCAGGGTGTTTCAGCCGTGTGGACTTGAGTGGATTCTCTACCAGCTTAGCCGGGGCTAGGCAGCGATCGACATGCGGCCCCAAAACCCGATGACCTCCAGCCGCCTCGGACCTACTCCTCCTCTTCCCGTCGCCCCGAGCGTCGTTCGCGTCACGACTGGACGAACCTCGGGCGGGTCCCGCACCTTCTGCACCTCTCGCTGCCCGGCGGCGTCCTCGCAGCGGTCCTGGCGGTGCGAGGAAGGTGCGTGCAGCTCGGTGTGACGAAGAGATCTGACGCTCAGCTGCTGTGAGTGTGGACCTTCGAACTCCACAGACTACAAGCCCAGTGCTGCTTGATTGCTTGTAAAGTTCTTTCCAGGTGAGATTCGAGTCCCTTGGGTCCCTTGGGGTGGAACACGAACACTACGCCCATTTGTGGGTGCAGGATGAAGCATCGGTGTGAACAGCGCTGATAGACCACGTGGCCCAGGCCCAAATCCTGTATGGCCAACTTGGTGGTTTGGGGGAATTGAACCTTGACAGGTATCTACAGTGATGGGAGATTGGGTCCCCCAAACCTTGGACAAGCATCCGAACACCACATTGCCGCCATCCTACCATCGAGACAAACTCCAACATTCTCAAAAGCGCATGAAACAACGATAAAACACTACTGTACTTCCCCGAATAGCCAAAACAAAACAAAGGGCACATAACTTAACTCACCCCTGTTAAAATAAGAAAAAACAAGTCTAGCAGACATGGGTGCTTATCTCAAGTACATGCCCACGTTGGACATGCATAGCTTTACAATCAAACAAATCTTGTATGGCCTTGTCAAAGTGAGCTCGCAAACCCTTATACCGTATACCATTGGAGCTACGGCTGCTTATACTTATACACTCATCTCCTCCCAAAAGAATCCAAACATTTCATATCACAAACGCTAAACACAAACAACCACCTGAGTCTACACACACACAGATCTACTGCTCTGTGCGCCGTTTGGAAGTCTCGTGCGGATTATCCTGATCTGTACGCGCCAGCTTGCGGGCGGGTGCGCGCTCCTTGGCTCGGTACGAAACCATCAAGTTGAACTCGGTGGACATGAACGTGGCACGTGACCGCGGCAGATCCTGGACCGCGGTTTCCGGCGGTGGCGCCACGGTTTGGCACGGAGGTCAGAAGGCGCACGGAGGTCAAAGGGTTGGTCGTTCATATGGGCTATAAAGGCTTAGAAGGGTGGAACGCGTGAGTTGGAACCTTATAGCCTTCAAACTAACGACCATTCGAAGAGTTCGGTGGACCTGCCTTTGTACAGCAAATTCAGCAAAAGAAGGGCTGTTCGGTCAAAACCATGAAGTCAACGGTGGGCCAGGACACCTAGGGCTAAGACCAAAAAAAATGGGTGTGGCAAATGGTTTTTTTTGTGGGGACAAAGGCCAGTTCTTTTCGAGGGAAAACCAAAACAATCTTTGCTTTGGGCCTCCACTTCGGCCTATGGGCCTCATGGCGACTGCATGGCCATTAGATAAGAAAGTTTGGGTCACCTGCGTGGCCATGGCCTAAAACCAGTTCCACAAAGTGGTGGCCTCGTTGTTCTTTGGTTTGGGCCTCCACTTCGGTACATTACCATTGCAGGTAAACTCATGCGGATGGCCCAACCAACCTGTTCCACAAAACTGATGGCCTCCGATCCTTCTTTTTACAGAGGCTTGACCCATCGCGTCCCCGCGCTTGAAGTGTGCATTGCATCACGTCACTCTCTTGCGGCCTCGAAGTAGTGAATGGCTGGCAGGTGTTCCGCCAGATACCCTGCGACCAAAGTTTGATCACAAAGACCCACATCGCTGGACTTCCTGAGGGTCGAACGGGTCGACCCGTTTGATCGGATGGGAAGGAGGGATGCGGGAGGTTTTTATTTGAGAAAAACAACCGAACGGAACCATGGCAGTTACCATAAGGATCATAAGGATCTATCCCCAGTTCCACATGCGAAGATGGCCCTTTGAAGTCTTCTATGGTCACTGCAGTGATGAACAATGAACACCGGGAGGCCGTGGAGCCCTTTGGGAGTCATAGAGGGTTCACTGCCAAATGCCCAATACCGAACTTGGTTGTATTTTTCCGAGCGGTATTATCCTCTTTTGATCAACCAACCAAGGCCGTAGGTCAGGCCTTCTATGAACTACACTTTTTACTTTGCATTATGCTATGGTTGAAGCCAGTAGCAGCAACATGCACCGAATTAGCACAAGACTTTGTGGAATACAGGCCCTCGCTCAGCTGAAGCGTCAGTCGAAGTTCGAGCCATCTGGTTCCAAGCAAACACTTCCACTTCAAAATGGATGCGGGCCTGGACAAGCCTACACCCTAGGAAAGTTCAAAAGGTGGCCTTGTGCACCCACAAGCTGCTCATGATCCTCTTGCCAAGTAGCACGCACCAGAAGAGCGAGAACAGCTTCTCTGCAAGGTGCAGCCAAAACGGACAGCCCAAAGCAGCACCGCCAATTCGGGAAAACTGCAGGCCATACAACCATACAACATCCATTCCTTCAGCATTGCTTTGCGTACGTGCCTTAAGCCTTAAGCTCAAGAATCAGCAAATTGGCACTTGAAAACTATCAGGGGCAAAACGCTAGAAGCTGCTAGCGCGCACCTGCTGTCTTCCACGGCCAGGCAACGCAAACCTACAAACACTTTCAGCATCTTTCTGGTATCCCAAGAAGACTAAACACCCGGTGCTCAAAAAGAACCACTCACTTTTTCTAGCCAACTCACGGCTCCCTTTCTTGTAGCCAAGTTTTCGCTTGTCATTTCCACTCCCTTGCAGCATCCGAAGTAGATTCAATCCAGGCACGCAGTGCTGCACAACATGTAAACCGTGAGTCTAGCAAGGATACAAGAACAGCCATGGGCCATTGCCATTGCTGCAACCTGGTGCCTGGTGCAAAGTAACCATTGCACGCACATTTGCAAGAAACTTTGTCTGGTGATGGTTTGCAATCCGAACGAACGCTAAGTAAGGTGGTCGTTGTGGGCATCTCTGCATCGTCAAAACCCATTGCAAACACTCCAAGGGCGTACCACTTTGGCACTGGGGCTGCCAAGCGCTAGAAATTCAAGCATACTTGAGCTCTTGAACAAAATAGGCTGGCATCTCCTCCAGTGGAGTCGTCCACAGGATCATAGGGTCACCGGGCATTTCTGCCTCTGGGCCTCGTCATCGCCGTCTCGGACCACGTAGTCTTCCCACCATGGCAGCGTCGTTGCGCACGATGTCGTGCGACCGCGGCTCTTTCAACATAGAATCTGTGACTCTCATCGTTTGGCAGCACCCATACAAGTTACTCCAGGTACTTTTTGATGTCTCCGCGCCCTTAGAAGTTGTGAGAACGTCCGCCCAGATGGCCCGATCTGTGTGAAGATGTGGGACAGGTGGACAGGAGCATCGGCTGAACTTCTCCACACTATTGGTCCTTTTGGAAGAATAGAGGGATTGAATGGGATTGATTTGGCACCATACCATCATATACCATCTCTTGATATCTCTTGGTTGTTCGGGGGGGTAGTCGGGGGGGGTAGCCTCCCCCTCTAAGAAATCGCCCAACGCGTCCTAAAAGACCAGCTCTTGGCCAGCCATGCTTCTCCAGCTCCAAGAATCCGAGTATTGTAACGCAGCAGCTCCTCCTCGCCGGCTTCGGTCAAGAGTTTCACCAAGCCTCAGCGGCGAGGCAGAGATGCTCTAACAGGCTAAACAGGCTAAACAAGAAAAACCTCGGAGCACGGGTTGCGCAACATCCTGAAGCCTCATGTTTCTTCACCAACCACATACTACCACCAGTCTTGTTCAGTGCCTGAAACCATCCAACCCGTTTACCCACAACCCGTCTTCATCCGTCCTTCACTCTCACAACGTGTCTGATTCACTCTCTCTCTCTCTCCGTATTCGCACCTGCATGGATCTGTCGGTCAGGCTTCAGCACCACGACCCCATAGTTGAAGGCATCGTTGAGGTCCTCGCCGCCGCGGTGCGCCGGTGCGCATCGGGGAAGTGGAGAAAGGCCGAGGGAGACAGCCTTCAGCACATATGGCCCAATGGATTGACTGGACTATTTCACTTCTTCCACGGGGGTCGAAGGGTGAAGGTCGAGCTATGCAATTTGGTGGGTTACAGCCCGCTCAAACTGAAGTTGCCAAAACAGGGATATTTGATGATATTGGATATGCAGGTGGAGATATATCAAACATTTGGTTAAAAGACTTCCGCAAGAGACGTGGTCTTGACAGTGACGTGTTCATGATCTGAGCTATAAACATAGCTAATGAACTATGAGATTTCCAATGATGCCCTCAGCTTCCCTGAACAATAAAGGTTAACCACACTTTCCACCTCTTCTCGTGAAAGGAATGTGAAAGGCGCGCAGGAACACCCAATCCCGACCAGGCCAGGCTATCTATCCACTTTTTCACTCCTGCACTCCTGGGTAGGAAGACCGAAATCATGATCTAAGGGGTCTCCAACGGATTACCCTTCACTATGGAATCTCCGTTGGACACCAACAGGATGGTCCAGGTAGGATTGGACTCGCTTGGAAGATCACGTCACTGAGGGATCACTGGGGATCTGCTCTCGCCTTTCAGCTTTCCTCGCCTCGCCAAGCGAAGCTTGGCCCAGGTGGAAGCCGCACGTGCAACCGGCATGCAAAGCCGCAACATCGACCACTAGCATGCAATCGGTTATTCTTGAAGTAGGGCATCTACCAATTCAAGCAGGACATCTAATGTCCCCGTGCGACTTGTGGCAAATTCGACCAATTTGGTTTCCTTGGATTTGCTTTCCATGCTCTGCGCAGCTGAGTTCACATGTGTCATCCAGCAGGTCGCAAGACACATAAGGCACTCAATGGGTCTACACATGCCTACACCAACATACGTGAACCTTGGACCATCTTGGACTCACAGACCGGGCACACAGATTCCCAGAACCCATGCCAGAAGGTCCTATTGTACAATATAGTTCCTGGTCCTCCCCATTTTCGGACCACTTCTCTCTTCAGTCTCGCACTCCTTCCCTGCACTTAAGGCTTCCAGTCGTAGCAGCGGCACCAGGGGCCGCTTCGCCAAGACGTCGCCATCCAAAAGCACCACCGTCCTCAGCGCGGAGGTCGTTTTCGACATCGATCCTCCCAGCTGAGAATGAGTCACCGCCCGCCTCGCCGGGGGAATTCGGTGCCTTTCCGACGTCTTAGGATCCAATATATATATATTATAAGAATGATTTCCTGTCGAATTGGGCGAGGACGGCCTATTAGAATGGCATCTTTTTGGGTGAACATTGCAAAGATCGAACTGGACACCTCAAACTGCACCAAGCAGCTCGTAGCCCAGATCAGGATTCCAGGCATGCACCTCGCATGGTCGAGAACCCATTTTGAACATCCTGTCGAAAGGTCGTTTCTCTTGAAGATTCGCCTTTGCAAATGACTTGAAATCAAATGTGTTTGTTTTTTGTTTAATGTATGTACCGTTCTTGCACCGAAATGACAAGAAAACAAGAATCTCCGAACAATCACATAGAACAATAACTGCTGTATGACAACTCCACTGGCGTCGAGTGCCAAGCTGGGAATTGAGGTCACCCTGCAGCTAGTTGGGTGGGAATGACTGAGTGGCTCGCCTTATATGAGCTGCAGTCTCTGTATACTTTACATTGTATTTTGCATCCGTTTACCATCATGAACATCCCTATTCGTCCACACTTTCAATCTCCATGATCCGCCTTCCTTAAACCGTCCAAACGAGGTCAATTCATCCATTCCCAAAGAGTCTTCCTCATTGAAGGTTTCAAAACTGAAGTGAAGTGCAAGTCACCGACTCGCGGCCTTTTTCACCGTCCAACCAGCCGACCACCCACTTGGGTAATCACCCATTTGCTTGAACAAAAAACATGGCAACCCATGCCTTAGCAAAAGCGCCTCCATAGGGCATGGGCTGCAGGACTTCCAAGACGCCTTGCCTAACGTCGGCATGGATGCTGAAGCAATCTGCAGCGCAACACAGGTGTCGGGAAATACTAACCCATCAATGTAGGGGTCTTACCAATCCTCAAGTGCGTGCTGGGCCAAGACTCTACTTATATACAGGGGAGCTGAAAGCTCTCCATTTGCCAGCTGGTTTTTGTGGGCGGTTTTTCCTCACGATGGGCGATTGGGGACGGTTTGGCAAATATCAAAAGATGATGCACTGGCACAAAAAAGTGATCCAGGAGAGGCATGTAGATTTCAAGTGAACAAAATATTGAAAGGACGATATCAAAATAATCATTCTTAACATTTCTTAATTTTTTTCGTGACAAAACATATCTTACTGTTAATGCTTACTATAGTTGTCGCTGCTTCTTCTACTGATTTTGCTTGTTTTGGGACAAGCAAACAAAACTCGCACTGTCTTTTGTATTTCTTATAAAGTTAATAGCTATAGGGATTCATAGGAGCCATGTTGTATATAACAAAAATTATCAAACATATTTTGTACCTATTTTTGTCTTGCATCTGTAAATGTTATATATTCTATTAATCACAAATCAAGTCAACGCATGATAAGGCAAAAACATGCATGAAGTAAGGAAAGAAAAACAGCGTCAATGAGACAGCGTCAACGACAAGGCGGTCAAGGAACAACATGTCAAGTCATCTAAAGGACGTAAAGTCAGCTGGCGTGACAGCGGGGGGCTGATTTTGAACGACCCTCCTACACGTACGGAGTACGGAGCCATGCAAACAAATCGATCTATCTATCTATGTATATATATATATATAAATAAGGGGTGCTTTTTTGTAAGTGTCACGCTTCAATGGCCGGGCCTGCCATGCAAGGTCACGCCACATGACTCCTTTGGTCTGACATTGCTCGAAGCCAAGAGTCCCAACTCTTCATCCTTCTTGCATCAGCTGCTCTGTAAAGCTGCCCCTGGCATCCTTCATCTCAGCAATCTGCTCTCCTGCTCTCCTGCGCTCCTTCGCTCTCTCTCTCTCTCTCTGTCTCTCTCAGTCAGCCTTCAGTACAAGAAACATGCGTCGCATTGAGCAGAGAGTGGTCGGACAATTCGGTCCGCACAACCTCTACAGCGAGTTTTGACCAGCAACATCCAGCAACGCATTCTGTTGGTGCACCTGTCCACCATGTTGTCATGGACGCCCTTGAACTTTTTTGACTAAGTTGGGTCTAAAATGCACTGAGGGCTCCCTTTCATCAGGATTCCAATTCAACTGCAGCGCACATGTGTCCGCTGCATTCGTCTGCAACTCCAGGATGATCTTGTTTCTGTTCATTCTTGATTGCCCAGACCTTGTGAACCTGGACGTTGGATCTTTCTTTGGATAAACATGTTGTCTCCCACCTCAGACTTCATGGGACAAGAGTCTTCGTACGAGGCCTCTGTTTCAGGAGAGCCATTTCTTGTCCGGAATTTCCTCTTCTTCCAACCTTTCGTTCTCGAATCTAGGACTAGAGACACAGAAGTCATGAACCCTATGGATCCACTGCCACCTTCTCAGAAGTCAATTGGACCCTCCTGGCGCCTACATAAATAGTCTCGAATCACCTTCTCAGAAGGTATGTGGATCCATAGGAAAAGAGTGATGCTTCCTTTTCGTTGCCTCTCCACATTGAAAAAACAAGGCTTTCGTGACTTTCATGTAGACCACGAGCTTCACCTCATCTGTTCTTGTCGCGGCATGGAACTGATGTGAACCGCAGAGGTCCACCTCTTCACCCACAGGAGCTCTTGGTCAAGCAATGCCCGTACCCTTGGTAGCCTTGGTATTTGCCATTTCTCTTTCCCCTTGCATCTGAATATGCGTTCCTGGTGCTTGAAAGACGTCCTTGAACAGCAGAATGCCGCGAAGGCTCTCTCTCCCCCATAAACACCCAACAATTCGGACCAGGATTCTCCAGTCCCTCACGTGCCGCCCTCACCATCCCTCACCTCAACCGGACAGCGGCTCGGCCTATGAAGCTTGGAGCGTTCCGCCTCCATGGCTTCCAGTAAAGCAGGGCTGGGCACGACGTCCGGCACATCCAGCACCTGTTTCGGTTTGGCATGGGCGTCACGTTGGGCTGTCCGTTCGGGGTGGTTCGGGGTGGTCAAAGCATGTACAACCATGTACGACCTGTTCTTATCTGTTTTTTGGGGTTTCGTTTTCGGGATGTTTTGAGGGTTTTGGTGCTCCAAACATGCTGAAACACATCTGATGACTCTGTTTCTCAGGGGGCCTTGCTGTTCCCTTCATAATCTTGTTGATCCAAATGTTGGTTGCCACCGCCAGCACATGCTTGTGGCCGACACCCACATCAACACAGAGTCATATGGTCTGGGGTGCACCACATACGTCTCAAGTGAAGAAACCTTGCTGGCTGGAGGTGGTGGGTCCCGGTCGCATCTCCCAACAGGCCAACAGGGTCGGTTGGGTGACACGGGTGGTGACGTGTTGCTGCTGGAAGAGCATTGCCTGGAGGAAATGGGGTGATACCTTGTGGTTCTACCAGATCTCTTTGATGCCCGTCCGCCACATTCATTGGTGACAAAACCGTCCTTAAAGCGAACGTCCCCAAACAAGCCACATTCGATGGAGCCCAACATGGAGCCCATGCACACAGAAAGCACCCTGAAAAACGAGCAACGGTTGTTTCGCACTCTTGACGTCTCACTTTTCGGAGAAGCTCCTCTTTAGGACATTCTGTGGTGACACTCTTCTAGGACACTCTTGTAGGACACTCTATAGTAAGCCTCTTGTGGAACACTCTTGCGGGCGCACTCTTGCGGGACACTCTTGTAATCTCTTGTAGGACACTCTTGTAGATCACTCCAGTGGGACACTCCTGTGGGACGCTCTTGTAGGACCCTGTTCACTTTTCTGGAATATTTCGCAAATGTCTTCCAGTAGAACGTTAGGACCAAGCATTCCATGAGGCAGCTCCTTGAATGTCCATGAGTTTTCAGCAACAGCAGCGGTCGCGCCGACTCCTTTGCCTTGCCTTTTGAGGAAGAGGACGGGATGGTTGCCTATCCCGTCAATGGCATTCAAGGCTGATTGAATCTCAGCGCGAGCATTGTCCACTCGATCCTGTGAACCAGGGGAGGTGGTAAATGAGTCACGGATGTATCGCTCCAGTATATGGCTTCTTGGAGATGTCGCATGCTTTCAGGCTGAGTCTTCAGCCCCCCTTTCAAAACTATGATGTCAGTAACGGTCAAGCTTGTTGAACTTGACCTGACCTTCTTCTGGTCGCCGAAACCCGGGATGCCGCCACTCCGCTTCTTCTTCACGCCGAATCGATCGGCCAAAATCTGTTTGATGCGCAAGTCACATTCCAGTGTGGGCATTTCGTTTCCTTATTATTCGTCCTGAAATAGATCATCGAACAGGTCACACAGATATCCCCCCAAACAAGGCTACTCTGACCCAGTTTGTCAAAGCCTTGTGAAGACAAAATACCCCAGTCTCGGTGTGAAAAACAACACACACCAAAGGCGTTGCGGCTTTGACATGAATTCCCCTTGTCTTGCCCTGTCTTTGCAGCCTCCGACTCCACCCATCCACCAGAACCGCATCCCTGAACGCCATGCCTGGATGCCCAGCGCCTCAAAGCGTTGGCGCCAAACCTTGCTCACCCGGCCGCTGCTTGGCACCAACAACACGCGCTCGAGCTGGGCACTGCCTGGACACGGCCGCTGCCGTTGGAGTGGTAGGAGCTTGAGATCACCTGGGTGGTGGTTGGTACTAGTGGCAGTAGTAGCACTAGCACCAGCAGCAGGAGCAGTTCGTACTAAGTGGAGTGGCGTTTTCTGCGCTGAACTGTAGTAAAGACGGCTTTTTCAGTAAAATGGCGGTCTGGCTAGGGCGAATGACCTTCCGGCATTAGCCCCCGTTTGTTCCAACGACGTTTTTTCCAAAAGGGGGTGCTGAACCGGAGCCTTCTCGGTCTGAAAGCAGATTGGAATGGGCTTTGATTGGCTTTGATTGGGGTGAACACGCTTGCGCAGGTGACCGCAGGTGTCAGAAGTCCCTTCGCCTCTGGCATCGACCCACCAGGTCACCTGCCCATGATCAAACCACCTCCTCCGTCCAACCACTCCGAGCGGAGGCTCAGGGCCTGCATGAATCCCCACGGAATGCAAGGTCACCAGAGCACCTTTCGCCTCAGGTCAAACACCGGCGAGTGGGGCGCTGTGATGCACACGCGCCCGCTGGAGACCCGGAGGGACACAGAACAGGACTTGGCCGGCCAAATGGTCGTCGTTTTGGGGGAGAATTCAACGAAGAAAGGGGTCCAAGTAGTCGATTCTGTTCGTTTGGTCAAGCAAGATCCCTGGCTCGCCGACGTTGGCAAACTCCCGAAGGCCTTTGGGGAACGACCATTTTCAAAAAGGGACAGACCTGGCTTTGTAGTGCCAAATCCGTGGTAAAACCAATGGTGCTTCGGGATTCAAGCTATTCAATCAAGGGTAGGAAGCCTAGGATAGCCTGGGCCTTGAGAACATGGACCTTGTCGCAATCCTTTCGATTTCCATAGTTATGGTGCTTCATGGCTTACAGATTTTCTAATAAAGGGTTCAACCTGTAAGGGCTGTTCAAGTCGAAATGGATACCAAAGCAGGTATAGAATCGAATGCTTTGAACCTATAGCAATCTGTGAATCTGAAAGGTTGTGGAAGGTGCAATGAGGGTGTGCCTCTTCCCTCCTCCATGTCCAATATTGCTCCAGCCGCGCTGCGTAGTAGTCATTCGTCGCGAGGCTTATAAAGGCCTTCTTCGAAGAGCTTGAGCCTGACGAAGCACAGGTGCCCAAAGTGGACAGGTCACTGAGCCGGTTGGCATGAAGATCAATGTTGATTCAAAAGGCTACAGTAAATAAATATTCAATCAATCATCTCTACGTGAGTCCGAGCTAGATGTGGGGTATGTTTTCAATTGGTCCTTGGACATGTTCTACCACTTTTTGCAGGCCTTCTTGGCTGACAGTTGCCTCACTGGAAGGAATCATGTTGGTGTGAACATTCAGCAAAGCTCTACCAATGCACTTTCTACCTCGGGTGCTCGCCTATCAGGAGAACGCACGTCGTCAGCAACCATCGCCAAGTGCGCATTCGCTGGATGGAGAAGACTCCAACCCATGCCAAGTGCCAAAGAGTTCTTCTCCATCTTTGTAAGATCAACGCCCACAAACCATTGGTGAATTCTTTTGCACTCACAAACCGAAAGGATTCAAACCCTCACTCAGAAAGGAATGGTGGAATCCTGACCATATTGACACGCAAACTCTTGAAGTAGGACACTGATCTTCCAGCAACTCATGCTTGGTTCCATGTCAGTGAGTTGGAGTGTGGACAACATACTTCAATGCTCCACAGGCTCAGGTGACTCAGGTGAGGTCTAGTTGTCCCCCCCTGCACGCTATGCCCGTCCATGCATTCAACTTGCCCAGCGACTGAGCCTTTGAACATTATCAGCCAAAACAGGGTGTAGACTGAGCCTCGAAACAGTCTCTACTGGTAACAACTGCGACTCGTCATCTTGCCTCAGTTGGGGCCCTGGTCATCTCGCCGATATCCAATGGAACACCTTTCGATTTCCTCTGCGTCAGGACATGTCAGGACCACTTTTTGGAATCTTGTGGTCCATCATTTTTTGGGTGCATGTCTTATGTTTTAAGTTGGATTCCGAGGTCAGGGTCATGGACCATTCTTCCATCAACCTCATCCTACACGTCGCGTCTTGCTGTGACCACACGCCTCACTGGGGCGCCGCTATCTCACGCTCTATCATGGTGTACCCATCATGGTGGCCCCGTTTTCTCGAAACAAGAACTGTCGCACCTGTCCCAACTCTAGTAGGGTCCATCTTACAGTGGAGAGCCGGAGGTGGGGAGGTGCGGGTGCGGTCTTCTCCCGTCCATCGAGCGGCCGAGCCTCTTTTTCCACGAGGGACGGGCGGTGCTGTGCTGTGAAACCACAGGAGGGCGGCTCGAGGTTTCAAGCCGTCTTAAGAGGGACTGAGAGTTTCTTGCCTGTTTTGCTAAGGGTTTGACCTTTAGGGATATTGTAGCAACTAATTCCGTTTTGAACCAAAGGGACTGTTCGGGTCTAAGAGTATACCAAAGGACGGTACAGGTTTGTACAGATTCGACTGACCGCCAATGACCGCTTCAAACTCCATCCAATATGATAAACATTTGATCCATAGATTCGGTGGTCACCTATAAACATGTTGTATCCTCTGGCAGATGTGTATGATAGCCATCCTCAACGGTGGACTTGCTGTCTAGAAAGCGGAGAACACCGTTTTCAAGCATCTTCCCCATGCCAGTGGGTGGACTCATAGAGAAAAGACGGTCCGATCCACAAAACCCTGGTCGTGACTTCTGAAACAAAAAGAAGCCTCTGCATCCATCCCCCCGAACCAGGTGACCTACAGCGACTGCGACCATCATGACATGCAAGTCTCTTGAGGTCTTTCACGCATTTTGACTCGACTGCGACCAGTCTGCCAAGTAGGACGGTGGTGTCCCTAGTTGTGTTTTTTCCAGGTCTCTCAGTCTGAGCAACATTGGAACTCAACTTGAGTACGGAAAATAACTGGCCGAACGATGGAAGCACATGATCTAGTGTCTGCGCCAGCCTGATGGTCTACATTTTTGTATACATCATTGTTGTGGATTTCAGGTGAAAGTTGCTGCATTTTCTAAGAGGTCTTTCACCTTCAAACTCAGCTGGGTTTAGGTTCCTCTCCCAACAGCCTCCCAAGGATTTCAAGAGTGGACACACACACACACACTTCCATTTACCATAGATTTGACTCTTCTGGATGCCCTATATAAATCTTGGAAAGGAATGCCCCAGTTGTGTGTTTCTACTGTCCTGGAAGGGTCTTAACTCGTTGTTCTTCGTATCTGTGAGTGTCCGGAAGACTCTGGCCACAAGTCACCGCAAGAAGAAGCCAAAAAGAAGAAACCACCCCACACCACAACAAAACATAATGAAAAACCGGGTACCTGGTCCCGTCACAATATCATTGACACCACAACTCCTGTGCCCGTGCCCGAAGCCCCCCAGTCAAAGATTTAGGTGTGGGACATGTTCACCAAATCAACGATTCCCCTCAAGAAGATAGGTTGGTTATATGGGCGTATTTAAATAGGGAGACTTCCCAAAGACACCCTGGAATACACGCCCATATATACAAGTGTGTGGAGCTCTTGTCCCAATATCAATCCCACAATCCTAAAAAAGAATTGCTCTGAAGAAATAAACCAAAACCTCTCTTCCCAGTGACCTCCAAAAAGGCCTCCAACCATCAGATTACCATCTCTTCTATGTTCCAATCTGTCTCAACATGTCAATTTTTGCTTCCTTCAATCGCCTCGCTGCCCTTCACCGCGAACCTGAAGTCCTCCTGCTCTCCTGGAAAAAACGCAGACAACTTCGGCGTTGGAAATCCAATTCCAACACCAATCCACCCTTTTAAATGATGTGATGTTGAAAGGGCTATTTTGCCAGTGCCATCGTAGTGTGTTGGAGCAGACCTTGCTCCGGAAAGGTTTCTTGGGAAGGACTCATGGATCAAAAACAACTGTCACGCAGGTTGGCCCAAAATGCAACCTCTTGTGTACAAAGTTCAATTTGTAATATGTTCCTGTGTTTAAAACACATGGTTTTGTTCCATCTACTCTGATCCACTGCAAGTTGTACATTACTTTTATATACGTACATATTTCCACCAAGAATCTGTGATTTGCCATAGCAATAGCAAAGAATAAAACGAATTCTCCAGGTTCGGGGATTTACGCAGTTCGGGACAAGCAAACAATCAATGAAACAATCACCATGATCCGAAAGAACCAGAGAGCATGGCGAAACCCGAGGTGCCAAACCCACAAACCCATCCTCTCGGCGGACCATCTCGTGTCCAAACAAATCCTTTACTCCTTTGATCATCTTCGACGGAGCTCACCACTCTTCTCCGTTTCCGTTCTTGAGCGGAGTTCGCTATCTTTTTGAGCGTGCGTCGACCGGTGAAAAATTGAGGATCGGCGTGTGCCTTATATTCGCGCGGCCTTCCGGATGTCGCATGCGGTTAAGGGTTGAGCACTGTTTTGGAGCCTTCCGGGCTCAAATTCCTGCTTGTTTTGGGGGCAGGGCGATGTTCTTTTGTAACATGGTGTTTGACCAGTTCTGGTCGCGTTTCATTACCAGTGGTGGGAAGCACCGGTTGTGTGTTTCATGGCCCGTTTCGCCAGCTTGGTCAGTCTTTTGAGGGAGATCGATTTAGGGGTCCTGACATAACTCTTGACCATTCTCGAATGAGCCTGATGAGGTCGCGGTGGTGGTAGCCAAAGGCACACCATGACAGCCACTCCTAAATGGTTCCTCTGGCGCACCGGCCACCCCGTCTACTATACAATATAACCGCGCCCATGGGGCTCGTGATTCTTCCACTCATATGTCACAACCAGAACTACATAAAGCAATGCGAGAAGAAACAAGGAGAAGTACACAAGTCCTCACCGAGTTTGTAGCTGATGAGTCCCCCGCTTGATCCACATTTTGCACCATTCGGATTCACATACAGTAGGTGCAACACAAGAAACTTGCCATGGGCAGGGAAACAACCGAGTAAGCGCCCCAGACTGGCATATAGCCGCCTGATAGACGTCTCATTGGGAGTCTGGGGGAAGACAGGCATCATGGCCGTCACTCCCCCTGGGTGTCGCGGGCCTCGAATACACGCGTCCACACTTCACACATATGCTTTCACATACCTCCACTGTAAATTACTCCCCCTGTGTTCCCGTTTCATGTCGGACCTTGGTTGTGTCAAGCCGACCAAGTTCACCCTTTTCCAAGCAGCCACCAGTCAGCACAGGGATGACACCGTAGGACCCAAACACTGGAAACCAACCAAGCCACACACCAACCAACTCACCTCCAACAACGTACGGGTCGGTCAGTCACGTTGTCGTCTCCTCCACACCAGTGGCCAAGGGAAGAGTTGACCCTAAGGGAAAACTCAAGAGAGAGAGAGAGAGAGAAACCAGCCCGGTGAAAACCGGAGAAACGCCTGACCTGAAGGACCGGATTGGGTTCGCCCTTGTCAACCCAAGATACTGCTTACAGACAAGGTTGCCCCGCACCGCCCCCCTGGAGGGCTGCACGCATTTGCATGTGATGCCAGAGACTTCACGCCATCATCGAGCTGATCAAGCCTCAAGCAAGCGGGCCACCTCTCGCAACATCAACTCAAGACAATCTTCTTTGGTCTTGAGCCGATGGCACATGCCTGGTCCATTTTTCTGAGCCACTCTTGGTCCAGCGTCAGCAAGACTGGTTGAAATTTTCATACCATCCAGCCAAAGGTCATTTCCTTCAGTATCTTGGAACGGCATGAACTGAATCAACCTTTCCACGATGCCTTGCATGTACTCTGAAGCATCTTTCCAACTCAGCTTGTCAGGAGTCTTTGTCAGATTTTTTGCTGTTCGGACATTGGATGCATTCAGCATCCCAAATCCTTGAGACCTTCGCAGAGCACATCCTTGACGCGTTCCACTCGTTGCACAGTACTCTCCAATTGTCCTGGACAACTCCTCAGCCTGTTTCTCCTGCAAATCTTTTTTGATCAAGTTGTATGGTCCAGCATTTTCATGAGCCAATATGAGCCGCCAGTACGCCGCACCATCCGGGGAAGAGTTCATCTGACGATTCAACATCTCATTCAACTTTTGCTGCTGATCTGACAATAACTTGAAGGCCACCTTTGGGAATGCTCCCGCTTCCACCATCGCCGCAATGGCTTCCGTTTCCAGTGCTCTGGCCACGGGTGGTATCTTCGGAGGAGCACGTCTCTTCCGCAGTAGGAAATGGATGCTTTCCCTTCCCGATGGTCCCTTCTTTGCCAGCTATCGCAAAGCTGAAGTCGCTTTGCCCAACGACCTCAAATCATTGGCAGTCCTTGCTTCATTATACGTTGCGATCAGTTCATTTAGAACAAGTTGTTCTGCTTGTTCTTGTTGGGCTAGACCTTTGTATCCTTGTGACTCAGCCACCACACCCATTTGAGCAATGAGCATCCTGGTATCCACTGTTCCCGTGTCTGCTTCACGATAGAACTCCATGGCTTGGGATGGCTCAGGTTCAGACGGGCTAGCTTCTGAACAGACACACTCACCTTTCGTTTGATCGGTGAGTACATGGTGCTCTTGAGCCTTGACACCTTCAGTCATCTGCCATGCAGAATTTAATTAGGCGACTTGTCCCTTCAAATATTTTTCAGACTCAAAGTTCCGAGTCCATCCAGCCAGTCTCGAATGAGCCTGCGTGAATGACCTGACCATGTATAGCTCGACATGCGTGTCATGGCACTCCACCTTGGCAAAGACCCCGAAAGAAATTGAACGCACCACCAAAGTGTCGACTAATCAAGACAGAAAAGGGGAGCTCTAGGTGGGCTCTAGGTGTTTCGACCGACATCAGCAGTGAAAAGAACAGTACAAATATTATACATATCATTACATAATTACGATACTATATCAAACAATACATACATAAAAAAATATATATATATACCCAGAGCTTCCAACTACGTTGGTAACCCTAGGATCTGAGAAGAAACAACATTTACTCTAGGATTTCATAACTACGTTCAAAACTCAGTGACTACATAATGCAATCATCTCGATCACCTCTAAACTTAGTAGCAAAGTAAGTACGCTACTTACCCTGGTTAAACTTAGTATGCATTCGCGCAGGAGATTACTTTAGTAGTTGAAGATAAGGGTATATATATAATTAATATATGTATATATATATATTGGAGGTTTTCACAACCGATACTTTGAGCGTGACGCTTGACGTTCGGTCGCAGCCTTTGGCCTCAGTGGCCCAGGTTTTTGTTGGGGGGCTGGCGCCATGGTGCGGTGGCGATGGCTGGCCCTCGGCCTTTGGTGGGCCACGGGCCCTAGCGATGGGTGGTGGCAGGCTCCAGGGGATGCTGAGCCCGTGCCACCCAACGCCACCTGCTGGGAGGAGCCCTTCCTGTGCCTTCAGCAGCGGGTGAACTCGACGGTGGCCGCTGCCCAGGCGCGGTATGCCACGTGGACGACTTGGGACAGCCTGGCATGGACCATCCTGGACACGTTGCTGTCCGGGGCAGGCTGGATGGTCTTCGGGCAGAGCTGGGCCAGTGTCAGGACCGGCTGCTCTTTGCTTCTACGGATGGCCTTTTTGATGGTGATTTGCATCGTGCTCCACTACTTCCTCTCCTTGGCCTGGCCGCTGTGCTCCTTGGCCATCGGAACACTCCTGACGGTGGTGTGGGTGGTTCGGGCCTTGGTGCGATGCTGCGGGCGGGTCGCCTTTTACACCCAGCGGATGGCCGGGGGTGTACCCGAAGCAATGGGAGCGACCTTCATTGGCCCAGACACTGGAGAGATCCCGGAGACGGCTGACCTTCGTAAGATGAAAAAGGGAGCCAACGAGGATCGATGGGTCCTTTTGCGGAGGGATGGCTATGTGGTCATCATCAAGGTCACCGAGAATGCGGCGATCAAGTCCAGCGGCATCTACCTGAACTTCGACCCTGAGGCGACCAGACGAGATGCTCAGCTTCTGCTTGCCTTGAAGGGTTACGACCGGGTGCACCTATGCAGGCACGATACGTGTCCGGAGGAGGGTCAGCACTTCAAGAGCTACGCGTTGGCACGACAGCTCAATCCTGAACGTTTCCACCTCCTTTCAACCGCCTCGGGAGCTCAGAGGACCGGCATGAAGACGATGGGATGGCTCTTCTCCAAGGCCAGCAAGACGGCGAAGAGGCTTCAGGACTATGCGTCCGAATCGGAAAGGGAGGAAGCGGGCGGATGCTGCGCCCACTGGGTGAAGTGGGAAGGTGAGATGGGCAGATCCTGCCTCAGCGACCACCCATGCAGGAACCTCGGAGCCACGGAGGTTGAAATGCTGGAGGAGGATCGTGAGAACCTTCCCGCGGACCAACCGAACATCCTCTGCCCTGCTCACGCGGTCCGTTATCTGACATCAAGAGCGGTCATGAAGTGCTCCTACGGAGGCTGCCAGAAACTGGGAATGGTGACGAAACAGGGTCTACGTCTATGTGGGTTCCACCAGGAGCAGGCGTCGACATCCTCGCGGCGGTCCTCACGGTCGAGATCGAGGGTAAGGGACCCACCCCCGGGAGAAGGCGAAGGAGATGAACGGGGAGAAGGAGAAGGTGACGACCGGGTGAAGCGCCGTGGGAGAGGACGCGAGGTCTCCTATCAGGTGGATGAGGCTGAATCTTTCCTTCGGGAAGTGCGAGAAGAGAAAGAGGAAGAAACTCCGGCACTCCGTAGAAGAAGAGTCTCATCGCCAGGGCACACGCCTAAGTCCTCGGTTCAACACAGTTTGGCACGAATGGGAATGATCAACTCCCCGGACCGTCGAGGCGACATGACCTACTTGGAGGAGTTCATGGAGCAAATGGTGGATGGGCGAGAGTTGCAGCTCAGTGAAGAGGACATCCGGAAACAGTTAGCGGCTCAAGCCGGGATGACGGTGGGCGACCT